AACATGATACCAACAGCGGTGAAGAACTGCCACAACATAACCAAACTACCTCTGATGGTATGGGGAGTGGTTTCAGCCGCATAAGCAGGAACAGTGGCTGATTTAATACCAATACCGAACCCTAAAAAGAATCTAGCCAAGAACAAATGGTACCACTTCAAGTTAACCAAGGCTTGCCAAATACAAGTGATTGCACTGATTAAACAGGTCCAGAAAATGGTCCATTTTCTACCCAATCTTTTATTCCAGGCATCACTCATCCAACAAGCGATAGTCGAAGCACAAAGGTAAGGAGCACCATTGATCAAACCCTCCATCAACTGAGGTTCTTTCATATCCAACAACCCCATTTCTTTTGGATAGAAAAGGGTGGCCCCATTAATAACCGATTCATCCATACCTTGAACAGCAGCAGCCATGGAGCCCAAAGCAATGACCGCAACCAACTTTAATGGAATATGCCATCTTTTGGTAGCTTCTTTATTCAAACCGACCTTCTCATCTTCTGATAAAAAGGGCATCGAGTTAAATTCATGAGGCAGTCTAGCCAAAGCAGCAGCTCTAGCGAATAATTCTGGATCCAAACCGTGTTTGATAGCATAATTTCTACCCATTTGCATGGTTTGTTTTTCAGAGTATTGGGCTAAGATATTGCCTCGTTCACCACCGCCGGCTTCAGCCGTTTTAGAATGAAGCGACTCGATATCGGAGTGAGCATTCTTTTGCTTGATTGAAGACGAAGTAGAACTATTATGTTCAAACAACCCATCATTACCAACACCAGTACCAGCAACCAAGTCTGGATCTTTTTCAATGGCAGGAGCATGATGAGCAGGGTCAACGCCAGCTTTTTCCGGGTCTTTCATTTTTTAATTATAGCAGATGAAGAGAAATAAAACAAACAATACTAAATCAAGGGGAAAAGTGTTCACCTTTTTATACCAGATACATCCAACTACATCTTACATGGATGGAAAGGGTAGCAAGGAGGGGCCGTAGGGAAACCTACTGTTAAATTCCTGACAAATTTAAACATCAAAACAATGTCAGCTTCCAGAGAAAATAATATTTTTTTACTATACATCAACCATTTCCGCGGGGAGCGTTAATTCCCCATATTGCTAGCTGGGACCGGATTTCAAGGAAAGGCTTTATCAATTCTATATTTACTAGAAGTATAACATCCTCAGCGATTGACTGCGACAAGTTTTAAGTTTCAGGAACAAGATGGCACGCGAGAAGAAAGATTCAGCCTTTCCCAACAATATAACGCTCTGATCACAGATAAGATGAGTAACGAGAGTCTTATCATATTTGTGAAGGCATTTGGGTGTTACAAAAAAAAGACAAAAAGTTAGAGACAAAAAATACGGAACCAACAACTTTTGGGTACCGCAAATAAATTTACCCAAAGCGTAAACCTGCACAAATACAAAGAGTGACTAAGATAAAAAATATATATATTTTTTTTTTTTTTTTTTTCTTTTTTTTTTAACACCCAACCGTCCCCCCGGAATAGGCCCAGCCTCCGGTCGGAAATGGAAAGAATGTGGGGTGCGTTTCAAGGCGAGCCCTGCAAGGGTGTCCCACGCTCGCAACCGCAGACAATGCAATTTCGTGGAGAACAGTAAAATAATGATTATTTTTCGAGATATTTTATACTTTCTGTATTTGCAACCATTACTCAATGAAGTTAATTTTGGGGGATTACACGATTTGCAGAATGGCCAATAGATGACCTCTACATATGGTGTTATCTTTGACCCAGGTTATCGGATGACGTAGACTACACGATGCACTGTATTGCACTACTCTAGTACAACTCTAGTCCAACTCTAGTCCAACTCTAGTCCAACTCTAGTCCGACTCTAGTCCAACTATAGTATAGTCCGTTCTGGTACCATTTTGGCACCGTTCGGGCAGTCCTGAGAAACTGCAAAAAAACCCTAACCCGCAAAAAGCAAGAATTAACCTGCAAGCCTCGACCATTGCTTTTGGTTAAGGTGCACTGGGGCAGAGGGATCTCTGAAAATCTCACCATAGAATACCATAAAAGATAACTGGAGGTGTAAGGCTGAATAAGAAGGATTCTGGGGATATCCCTGCTGAGGAATACGGCAGAAGGCGGGCTCATGAAAAAGTCCCAGAGAAATATCTTGCTTAAATACAATCCAAATGGAATAATTAAGGGAAAGTAATTCGGAGATTTATATTATCACGGCAATTATTCTCCTGGCCATTATTATTATATTTTATATACCCTCTTTTTTTCCCTCAACAATCAACGGCAGATACCAGTCCAGTGCTTGGACTTGATTGACTGGTTGACTCAATCACAAAAACTGAACCTGGTCTCAATAAAGTGGGGGAAATCATGGGGTTTTGTACAACTGGTTAGATCAACGTAGAATTTCAAGACTCTTGTACTCTAGAAAATTCTCTTATGAGTGTCCTTTACGCGATTAAGGTTATGAATGAATACCTTTATGGTATTCCGTGTTTGGAATATTCTTTTTTGTTTCCTTACTTTGTACGATATAAGCTTTTCATGGTATCTTGCTCTATATAAGCTCTGATATCCCCAGTTGGTGTTTGTCGATTATAATTCTATAATTCTTTAATCCGTTCGTTTTTTCCATATTTTTTCTGTGATTCTTTAACTTCGGATTATTTACTCCACCTTTCTGCTCCACTCCCGCCCCTCTTCGTATACCAAACCGTTTTCAGACAGGTCAAAAAAAGGTTGTTGATAAAAATAATGACATCACCTTCTTCGGTTGAAAAATTGTCATTTGAACATGACGATGCTCTTCTTAGTCAACCCACTAAACCGGTTGCAAAAGATTTGGAAACTTCTTCTTTCTCCTCAGGCTCTTCAAATAATGAGGGTAATATCTTAACCCAGTATTCCGAAGAACAAACTGAGCAAATGGGTAAACTGTATGCTGCCAAATATGGTTTGGACGTTGATTTGTTTGGTAAAGCTGCTCTTTTGGCCCGTCTGCCCAATTCTTTCAATTCAATGTCCTTTTTATCTGATGAACAGAAATCAGCGTTAAATAAAGAAATTACTCAGAAATGGTCCGTCCCCTTTGAGTTAGTTAAAGTGATCTTTTTAAGTTCAATGACCGCTGCCGTCCAAGGTATGGACGAAACAGTCATCAATGGTGCCACCTTGTTCTACCCAGAAGTCATGGGGGTTACTAATATGAAAAATGCCGATTTAATAGAAGGTTTAATCAATGGTGCACCTTATCTCTGTGCTTCTTGTATCGCTTGCTGGTTAAGTGATCTGTGGAATAAAAAATTAGGTAGAAGATGGACCATTTTTTGGGCTTGTTCAATTAGTGCAATCACTTGTATTTGGCAAGCCTTGGTTAACTTGAAATGGTACCATTTGTTCTTAGCTAGATTCTTTTTAGGTTTCGGGGTGGGTATCAATTCTGCCACCGTTCCTGCTTATGCTGCCGAGGCTGCCCCTTCTACCATTAGAGGTAGTTTGGTTATGTTGTGGCAATTCTTTACCGCAGTGGGTATGATGTTTGGTTACGTTTCTTCTTTGGCGTTCTACCACGTCGGTCACAATGGTATTAGTGGTGGGTTAAATTGGAGATTGATGTTGGGTAGTGCTTGTATTCCTGCTTTGATCGTTATGGTGCAAGCTCCTTTTGTTCCCGAATCTCCTCGTTGGTTAATGGGTAAAGATCGCCATTTAGAATCTTTTAATTCTCTTAATTCTTTAAGAAATGATCCTATTCTGGCTGCAAGAGATACTTTCTACCAATATGTTTTGTTGAAAGAAGAAGGTTCCGTCACTAATATCCCAACCTATAAAAGATTAATTGAAATGTTTACCATTCGTCGTAACAGAAATGGTGCTTTAGGTGCTTGGATCGTTATGTTTATGCAACAATTCTGCGGTATTAATGCAATCGCTTACTATTCTTCTTCAATCTTTAAACAAGCCCATTTCTCTAATGTTCAAGCAATGTTGGCTTCTTGGGGGTTTGGGATGTTAAATTTCTTATTTGCAATCCCCGCCTTCTACACTATTGATACTTGGGGTAGAAGAAAATTGTTATTACTTACTTTCCCCTTGATGTCTCTTTTCCTCTTCATGGCTGGTTTTGGTTTCTTATGTGATGATAAAGATGGTAAAGTTGGTATTGTTGCAACTGGTATCTACTTATTTACTTGTGTTTATTCTTCAGGTGAAGGGCCAGTTCCTTTCACTTATTCTGCTGAAGCTTTCCCTCTTTATATCCGTGACTTAGGTATGGGTTTTGCCACTGCTACTTGTTGGTTCTTCAATTTTATTTTGGCATTTACTTGGCCAAGATTAGTAAACGCTTTCACTCCAACTGGGGCCTTTTGCTGGTACGCTGGTTGGAACGTTGTTGGTTTCTTCTTAGTTTTATGGTTCTTACCAGAAACTAAAGGTTTAACTTTAGAAGAATTGGATGAAGTTTTCAGTATTCCAACAATGACCCACGCTAAATGGCAAACCAAAGAATTCATCTTGGATATTAGAAGAGTTGTCTTCAAACAAGATGTCATTCCCCAAGAACCTTTATACTCAAGCCATAGAATGGCTGTTACTAATCCAATTTGGAATGATAAATCAGACTTCAAACATGTGGAATAATTTCACTTACTTTATAGACCTATAGACTATTCCCAATTAACTGTTTTGAGCCGTTTTATCCGTGTTTTATATATTTTTATATTAAAAAATACAAACTCTGATGTTTATTGAATACAAATATACAAAAATATTGAATTAAACAATTATTTTACAAATTTTAACTAATCAAACTTATCTTAAAAAATCTCTCAAATAACCACCTAACTTATTGGCACCATCTTCTAATGCATCTTTCAAAACATCCAAATCTTGATTTGCATTACCAGAGAATTTTGAAGCAAAGTCTCTGGCACTTGCTTCTAAATCAGCCAAGCTTTGACCTCCGTTACCAGCACCACGGGCTGCATTACTTGTTCCTTCTTCTTCGCCAAAGTAAGAGTTTGAACTAATTGATTGAGCTCCATTGAATGCTTGTAATTTAGCTCTAGCTTCATTTTTAGCTTGCTCATCAAATCTTGGACCCCTACCAAAAAATTCATCTGATGAAATACCCTTTTGAGTACCAAATTTATTAGAGACTTCACCGGTATATTTAACTTCTTTGTATTGTTTTTTAGCTGGATCAGTTAAATTATTATCACCTTGAACCATTCCAAATCCTAATCTTTGGAACTGTTGAGTAGTTTCCTTGATTGGAACTTTCGAAGCTGAATCATCTTTTGATGATGATAAGGATAATGGTTTTTTAGATTCGTTAGGAGTAATTGAATTCAAAGGAGAACTAACACCAGTGTTAGTACTTGAAGTCCCGTTGGTGTTAGGGGTTTCAACTTGAGGATTATAGCCCAATTTTTTAGCTTCTTCTGCTTCTTTTTTAGCCTTCTTTTCAATTTCATCGAAATCAATTTCTTCTTCGTCATTTTTGTTAATTTTTTTGGCAGCTAATCTTGAAGTACGAGGACCATTACCTTTAGAGGATAAAATTGATTTCTTAGCGGCAGTTGCACTGTTCTTATTAGCCAATCTAGAAGAAGAGGTAGTGGTAGTACGTGTAGTGATGGGTCTTTTAGTAGTTGAGTTGTTCGAGTTAACTGATGAAAGATCATCAGTAGAAGCATTTGGAGTGATATTCTTGGAAGATAATGGAGATGGAGTGGCATTTATTGGTTTATTCCAATTGGTGAAAAAATCATCGGTTGAATTACTATTTGAATTTGAATTAGAATCAAGAACTGATAAATTATCAGTTGAATCATCTAAAGTAACAGTATCTGGATGTTTAGCAGAATCTTGTAAAGCAGTTTGTTTCAATTTTTCTTTATACTTTTTAGCAACAGGACTAGTATATTTTGCAATCAGATCAACATTTTTATTATTAACGTATTGAGATCCACCATTCTTAATGAAGAACTCTTTAGCGTTATGATTACCACCAAATTTGAAATGTCTCAATTGGATTTTTTGCCATGAATCCAAATTAGTTGACTTAACAAACGAAATATGGACACCCATATTTCTATGAACTGCTGAACATTCTAAACATAATAAAACCCCAAACGGAATTGAAGACCATGTTGGGTTTCTATTTGGACAATCAAAACACACTTGATTAGCCGGGTGTTGTTTCAACTTATTGAAAATGGCCTGAGCTTCTTCCTTGGTAGCGTAACTATCAGACATGCTTCTTAATCTATTGATCTAAAATAAAGTTATACTGTTATTAAACTTAGCCAAAAAAAACAGAGCTTGATGAATAGTTGGAACTGAGCACAATTCTTTCACCTTTCGCCTTGAAACTATCAACAACTCACTGAAGGTTTCCGTAAAGTTACTTACTCTTTGAAAAGATTATAAAGTTTACAACGTTCAAATGAAAAGTACCAATAGAAAAGGAAAAAAAAAGAAAAACACCAAAAACTACGTACGTGTAAGGATCAATCAATTGTCAAGAGAAACACCCAGACACCAACAAAAAGAAAAGAGGTCCCCATCGGTTGCAAGAACAACTAAGTAGATACTATTTATATTTTAAAGTATGATATTTACAGATATTAAGTATGTAGTAGAAAGGAGAGGAGAGGTAATCAATGGAATGGTCTTGAACCACCACGAGCGAACTCGATGATTTTCCAACCTTCAGTAACGTTATTATCCATTTCTTCAGGAATTCTAGTGAAAACCATAGCATAAGTACTCAATTGAATGTGATCTTCGGTACCGGCAGCAATTTCACCGGATTTAGCCTTTCTGTATAAATGAATTTCTTGAGCACGACAACTGACAACGATAACTGGGATATCGTTTGGTTGTAAGTTTTTACAAGTGACTACTTCAACACCTCTGATATCTAAGATTCTACCATCTGAGAATAAGCCCTGTTGAATGAATTGTTTGTTATTAGCTTGCCAAACGTTGAAAGGAGCTTCACTTAACCATTTTTTCAAGGTTTGTTCATCGTTTTTAATGTATGCATCTAATAATTCCGGGACGATATAATTAGTTAAAGTTTTATTGAAATCCGTGATTCTGAAAGAAGGATCCATGAGTCTCAATTGTTTGATAACTTTAGCTTGTTCGGTTTCAGCGAAAAACCCAGTAACTTTTTCGATAATAGTTCTAATTAATGCAATTAAACCATTTTCTGATTCTTCCCATTTTTCTTGTAAATAAACAACACCACGACCGATTGGAGATCTTTGTTTGAAAGTTTCCCATTTGTCAGAGAAAGTAGGACCAGTTGGTTTAGAATCAGTGGCAACTAAAGCCCCACCAGCTTCTTCATTTTCTTTAACTGGTTTAAATAATTTACCATCCTTCATTTTTTTAGCTAATTCTTGAGCCCTTAATTTTTCTCTTTGTTGTTTGGTTAAAAACCCCCCGTAGGATGATGATGAACCATCATCAATAACTTCAGAAAAATCTTTATAAACTTTGGTTTGTCTAACTGGATCAAATGCTTTATCAGCGGCTTCTGCACTGGTTCTAACGGTAGTTCTAACTCCATGACCAACTTTTGAGTCCCATGCTTTATGCGCAACACCTCCAACTGCTCCTGCTGCTTTTTTGGCTGCTTTACCGGCAGTCGAACTACCCTTTTGGGCACGATCATAAGCTTCTTTGGCTCTTTTGAAAGCGTCACTTTCTGCGACTCTACCAGTTTCATCTTGCAAAGCCTTGATGTTTTCTTTTAATTCATTGGATTTCTTGATTTCACTTCTAAAAGTTTTAAAGAAAACTTCTAATGGTGATTGAGGTTTATTAGAGTTAATACTACTTTGACTAAACAAACGATATGTCTGTATGGAACCCAACGCAGTACCCGAGTAGTGAACCTTTGATCCACTCTTTATTATTGACGATCTCAACATACTATTTCTATATATATGCTTGTGTCAATTATACTTTCCCAACTATATATCCGATTTTTTCAGCTTGGATTAGTGGCGTCGACAATTTCTTTAAATGCTTCTTCAAAACTGACTCAACTAGGTGTACCAACTCAATAAGTGACACACTCCCAACAGTACTTTAGCTAAACTAGGATTTCCAACGCAAATCTTATGGAAAACTGTCCTTTCAAAAGAGTTTTGGCCTTCAATTTTTCAATGCTTTTTTGAAGTCACCAAAAAAAAAAAAAAGAATTGAATTTTTTAATTACACAAAACTCACCCAAAAGTTTTTCGATGAACGAATGAATAATTGGGCATGCGCGCACGACCATATATGGTGCACGGGCCAAAGTTCCAAAAAAAAGAATGTACGGGTTGGAAGTTAATATCATATATTATTGGTAAATGCACGCGGTTCAATAATATTGGTTGCAATAAAGTATAAGGTATAATAAGGTTTTATAAACTAATGTATAATTCGGTAACATGAGCTAAAGTATAACCAACTACAAATTGAGAAGTAGGCCCTATTGAGGAAATGTATTAGTTCTTGAGTTTATGCCAATATTGGGCCACTTTCACCGCAGTAAAGATGGCTAATGCACCAAGGGTCCCGTTCTGGATGTTATTCAATATTCTCCGTTGTCTCTTTTCGATTTTGACTGCATCAGAATACCCGATATCTCCTCTGAATGAAATCATAGAGTACATTGGAATCCATGTAAGGAAACGGCCACTGGCATATTTACCTAAGAAGTAATCAATTTTCTTCCTGAAAAGATAAAGCGGGCTAGTAACTTTGGAGGACATTTCATAGTAATTGTCTAAGGCCAATTTACAAATGGTTAATAAATCTTGATGACGGTCTTGAGAGTATTGTTTGAAACAGGCTTTTACGTCATGATTATTGGAGTCAATTAACTCCATTAAAACACGAACGTCTTCGAATCCACAATTCATACCTTGACCGTAGAAAGGAACCATAGAGTGAGCAGCGTCACCAATTATCAATGCTCGGCCATTAGGACTGTGGTAAGGAAAAGCAGTGACTTGCATTAAAGAACCACGAGGTTGATGATCAAAACTATAACGTAAACTTTCTTCCCCCATCAATTGATAGGCATCGGGGAAATTGAATCGGAAGAATTCAACAAAATCATCGGCCGATTTTAAGCTTTCAATCACGGACCAAGGACTGAAAAATGTAGATGTAAATGACCCATCTTGATTTGCAAGAGCAATGAGCATAAAGTTATGTCTTGGCCATATATGAAGGTGGTTTGGATCAATTGAAAATATGGTATTATCTTCTTTTGAATTAGGATTAGGTGGAATGCAAAGTTCCAAATATTGCATATCAATATATTGTTGTTGGAAATTCATTCGACTAAATCTTTGTAATTGATATCTAAATTGGGAATGGGCCCCATCAGCTCCAACTATAAAGTCAAATTCATATTCTTTTTTCTTTTCTTCGCTTTTACTACTCAAGTCTAAGAAGGTCATTTTAGGTGTTTCGTCATCATTGGTAAGTTGACTCAATTTGATCAACTTCTGATTGAAAAGTACTTTGATCTTATCAGAACTTGTCATCTCATCCAACATTACCTTATTAAGAAAAGATCTATCAATAGAATTTATGCATTCTCCAAATAATCCATAAATTTGCGATTCTTGTTTGGTTCCACTAATATCATGAATCATTCTACCCTTCATTGGAATGACATATTGCAAAACACGCTCGGCCATTTCTTCATCAACATACTTCAATGCTCGTATGCCTCGATCACTAACTGCCAAGTTGATTGAACGTAAGTTCTTTGGGTTTGGGTTCTCTCTTGGATCGGGTCTTAATTCAAAGATGTATACAGTGTATCCCTTGGCCGCAAATGCCAAAGCTGCAAGACACCCAACTAAACCGGCCCCCACTATACCAACACTCTGTTGCTTGCTTTCGTTATCAGACATGTGATTTCAATGTGCTGAGTTTTTAGCTTGAAGTATTGAAACTTTTTCAAAAAATTTATGGATCTATAAAATTAGCTGATCTTCTCAAAACTTTTTTTCTTTTGCGTATACTTGGGGTACGACAAGGTCTACAGTAAAAATAGTGGTACTTCATATATTAGCTACACAGTTTAGTTTGTAGAATATTTGGCAAGTTTGCTAGTTTTGTCTTCAATGCTTTTCTTCAAATCAGCAATTTGGGATTCCAATTCTGTATTTCTAGCCGAAAAATCCTTATTTGCATTAATTGTGTTTTTCAAGTTTTCTTTCATGGTTAAGTTTTCATACTTTTCTTGTAGTTCATCTTTGAGTTGAGTTAACAGTTGCTTCTCTTGTCCAGCGCCTTTAAGCTGGTCATTGAATTGTTTGCTTTGTTCCAAGATTTCTGTATGGGTTATACTTAAATTATTCAATTGTTGTTTCAAATCATTTATTTTTATGATCAAATCATCATTAACTGATTTTAAATTAGTTAGTTCATTATTATTACGATTCAATGAATTTGCATGGAGTAGATGATATTCATTTTCGAATTTTATAATTTGAGGTTCAATTTTTAATATCAATGGGATATCAGCTTCATTTATGACACTAAAGAAATGTTTGGAACTTAAAAAATTATTCAACTCAGTACCTTGTAGACTTAAAATTCTTTCACCATTGGTTGCAAAAACAGTTACCAAGACTCTGGGAATGAAATCAAATCCTTGGAAAACAACAAAATCTAGGATTTTATATAATAAGGTTGTATTTTCAATTTGTTCATTGAAAAAATTGAACAAAATTTTCTTATAAAAATTAATCAAATTTATACCTTGTTTACTAAGGTGAAGGAACACGTCAGAAGCTAAGTCCTCCAAAGATCTGTTAACTTTATAGAAAAATTCATCTTTGATTAAATTCACGAATAGTTTATTGAATTTTAATAATAATGATAATAACTCTTCTTTAGATATATTTGGTAAACTGCTTATTAATTTACTAAGATGAATAACAAAATTGTTTGGAGGTAAATCTTCGGTATCGCCTTCCAAAGGAGTAGCACCTGGATCATTATTTATTGCTTCTAGCTTAGTGGTGTTTATAATAACTTCGTTAGTATAATAGTTGAAAATTTTCAAAACTTCCTTCAAGTCTGCATCAACCGGTAAACTCTCAAGAAATAGTTCCTGGTTCTTAGTTGACGACGAACTGTTGGCTCTTTTAAGTAAATTTTCGTATCCGCTAGGTTCCAATTTATATCTAACTTGTAACGTTTTCAAATACACCAAAGATCTCAATGATTCGGGGATTCCTTCAATCAAATGTTGTTCTAATTCATCAATTCTTCTTTCCCTCAAAATTTGATTACTATAATCTTCAATCAACTCATACCAAAACTTCAAGTTATCATCTTCCAACTGTTCTTCACCCAATGTTTCTTTAATGTTTTCCAATTTACTTTTCAAATTGTCATTGCTAATTGTATTGTTTGAAAAGATGTCAGATGATTCATTCAATATAGGCATTGAGTACAATTCTTGCTGTCTGATCACGGAAATCGTGGATATGTTATCTTCCAATGTAAACGATAATTCACTAGGTTTATTGGTGGATTGTTCCTTTTTAGGAGAATCTGCAAATTGATCCTCCTTAATTGTATCCGATTGGATATTTGAAGGTGATGTTACGGTTGACATCGTTATACTTCTGCTTTTCCTGATCAAATTGAGTAGATGAAGGCAGACTTCAGTAGGAAAAAGACAAACTTTGTTTACGTGGTTCCTTTGGATCAAATTTCCAATGCTTAAGCTCGTTTGTTTTTTTATTTTTTTTTTTTTTTGTACATCAAAACTTGGTGTCGAAACCGATTGCAAAAAATCAATACATACTAAAGCTACAAAGAGGGTTATTACTATGATAAGTGATACTTTGGTGTACAATATTGCGTTCTGTTAGATTGTGAATCAAAGCTGTATCCGTTGACAACTTTGTTTATGTGCATTAAGTTTGTAGATCAAATTATTGGAACCCATTTCTGTTTAATCTCCGTTTCTTGAGTTTAGCTCTCCTTTCATTAATAGAAGGGGGATCCTTCGAAGTCACTTTATTGACAGAAGGACCTTTCAACGGCGAAGACTGAATTTCATGAACTCCTTCATATCCGTCATCAGAAGAATCTGATACTTGAATTGGAGTGAAGATTGTATGGTGATTCCCATTAGAATGAATTACATATGTTTGTTTGTCATTATTTCTCTTTTCTTTCCTAGAGGTTTGACTTCTGGTATTTCTATCGTTACCGGATGAATAGTCCGAGTCTAAATGCTGGATTCCTCCACTTTCATTACCATCGATTATTTCATAATTAGGCCCGTGCTGATCTTCATCGGTTGTGTTTCTATTGGTATTCTGATGTTTCAACTGTCTGAATCTTTTAGATTCTTCTTCATCGCTACTCGATAGAACTTGAACATCGATCTCTTCATCATCGGCAATATCCGTGAGAGCATCTGAAGCAAGATCAATGTAATTTAAGTCGTTGTCCACATCATGAATTTCGCGACTAGGTGGTGTTCTTCTCACTCGAGATAAGGTTTGGTGAGTTCGTTTAGTATCAGGCGACTCGATCCTAATAGGCACCGGTTTAGGCTTTTCTGTAGGCGGTGTCTTCTTCCTGGAAGATCTGCTGTGGTCACTCATGATCCTATTTGATTGTTCATCCTTTTCCTTGTTCTTTGCACGAGATAAATCAAATTCTGCAATAGTAGGAACTTGTGGTAAGTTTTTCAAAAACCTGAGTTGTCTGGCCCTAGGTCTTGGAGACCCGTCATATATTGTGTGTATTCTTCTCAAATCATCATTTTGATCAGGGACAGATGGGTCTGCCATCATTTCAATTTCAATCTCAACATCAGAATCGGTATTCGTTGCTGATATTGATGAGTCACCTCCTATCAGTTTAGTGTTGCTTTCACTGTTATCAACTTCAGTGTCAGGATTTTCATGAAGTTTGAGGCTTGATGAAGAGCTGTTCGATTTATCTGACACGTCTTGTTTTACTTGCGCCATTCTACTACCACCATTTGCGTCCCTTGTGCTTTCTGCTAGCACTTTACGGGTGAATTCCGGAGTGGCTTTTCGCCATAATTCCTTCAATGTAGGAGTTTTCTTTTCTGCCACTGATTGCGGCAATGAAGTATTTGAATTTTTAAATAGCTCACCTTCCAGATTAGATTTTGCTTCGTGAGCTTCCGAATGTCTCATGGATTTTATAGTTTGTGAATCTTGATCAAGTCTCTGGTCAATATCTTTTGTTCTCTTCCTAAAATTAAAAGGCTCCGAACGCTTCAAAGGATAAGTTTTTTTTTGTCGTTTTTGGGAGCCTTTCGAAGTATTTGTTTCCTTAGTATGAGAAGCAGATCTTGAATCTTCAAAAGCCTCAGTGGAACTATTTGAACCCCGATTAGAGTGATGATTACGCCTTCCATTATTTTGCGAGGATTTGAGTTCAAACGGGTTGTATGTTCCAAAAGGTATTGATCTAGTTAAAGCAGCTGGAGACGATGAGGGTCGATAGACCTTGGGTTTTTCTGGAAGGTGATCTGTTCGAAATAACGAAAATATATTAGCTGCGTGCAGAGCTTGACCAGAGGACGATTTAAGTCTCTGGGATTCATTGAACCTTCTGCTATGCTCTCTAGTTTTTTCAAGTCGTGTTTCATTAGATTGTACTCTGTTAGGATGTGAACGGAAAACATTTTCACTTTTGCCCCTGGGTGGCAGATCCGTTTTTGATACTCCATCATTTTGTTGTGGTATATAAACTTTGTGATCTCCATTTAAATCCATAGAAAAATTTGCTTCTTTTTTGTCAACACCTGTAACAGAAGTAGAAGGGCTTTGACTATCAATGCTTTCTTTATGATTTAGTTCCTTTGACCAATAAGCTTCATTCGAATCAATTTTCAGTGGGTGTACTTCATTTTCTAGATCGAATTCAGTATATTCAACCCTATTGCCCAGGCTTAGCACTGGGTTCAAGTTTGAAATAGTGTTTAGGCTTTCTGAAATGCCCATTTTCCCAGGTTTATCTTCAGATCCTCGAGAGTGGGAAATGTCAGAGCCTTTACGAGTTGGGTTGAGATCTTGGTTGTCCTTGTTGTACCTTTCAATATTGGAGCTTTTTGAGTCATCTAAAACATCTTTTTTCAACCCAGAGTTATTATTATGGGATAAGGTTTGTATAGTCAGCTCAACTAGGTCATTGTTAGGTATGGGGCTTTTGCGCATGTTAAAACGTTTTTCTGATATTTCTTCTAATTCATCAGTACCCGTTCCATTGGACCCCAACTTCAGTTTCTCTGGCATGATAGCTTTATCACTTTCTTCTTTTACTGATTCGACATTGAGAGTCTTCACATCTTCAGAGGATTTTTTCCTCATTGGAGTGGATTCAACCATAGAGTCTTTCTTACCAAAAATGGGGGATGGTTCATCAGCTGAGCTCTTTTGCTGATCCTTAATTGTAATCGGCTTGGAAACGCCACTCGATATGACTTTAGGTGAAAGGCTCTGTCTCGAAATTTCGTCATCAAGAATGTCTTTCATTTCAATATCCACTGTCTCAAGCAGTGGTTTCAGTCTTGGTTGAAAATCGAACAGCCCAGAAGAATCAATCTCCATCTTCAGTTGATTTTGTGAGTCTGAGGAAAATCTTTGGTGTTCACTATTTGAGTTCACCAACTTATTATTATTGATTCCCTCGATCTTTGTTGAATTCAGAACGACTTGGCTCACTGGAATAAGCAGAGCTTTCATGGGATCGAGAGTTCTACCTTCAAGATTATCTCGTTTTGTTAAGTCAAGATGTGATTTTGATTGTGTATCAGAAGGCAGGGAAGGCGATATTCTTAAGTTATGAACACTTCTATTAAGATCATCACTCGAGTCATCTCTATGCTGTATAACTAAAGATTCATCCAGTGGCCTGGTGTTAATTCTAGGGTCATTTCTTCCACCTAAAGCATTGAATGTTATTTTGAAATGAGCTATCTTCTTTTCTCTCTGAGAAACATCTTGAGCTGGTTCGAGCGCCTTTTCAAGATCTAGAATTAATTGACCTTGATATTTGTTAAAATGATCAAATTTCTGTCCAAAAATCAAATTGAACAACCTCAAATTCCGAAGTTGAAGACTTTGGTTATTGAATAACTCTCGCAAAGACTTATTCTCTAGTTCCGAGGATGGGACCATCTGTGTAGCGCTATCATTATCAAAGCTGGTTAATTTTGATGCTGATAATGATGAGGGCTTTTTAGTAGGAGAATCTTTCGAAGTAGTTTTAAGGATATCATCTTTCTTTGGGTCAGTAAAAGCTGGAATGCTATTATTTGAAGAGGTTTCTTTTTTGTCTGCTTCGGTCTCAACTGATTTTCCAGGCTTATACTCAATCACTTCAATATCATCTTCAGAAGGTTCATTGTTCTTTGAATTATCTGCTTCCGGGCTATTTTTCTTCTCTTTCAATTCGAAGTCCTGTTTGTCATGTAGCTCCAAAAGGGTGTCGATGAGTTCTTTCCTCATATTATTTCTTTCGGCAGATAAAAAGAAACTTTTTATAAGATATTTAGATTTACACCTCCAAACTTGTTCACATTTCTCTGCATCGTTTAACCATTTTCTAACGTTATAAATAACATGAATCCCACAATCATTAAAATTGTTTTGCTTTGGGACCTTTGCGGCAATTATTCTTATTTGCTCCTTTTCTACCCTAAGATTATGCTTGTCTTTGCAGTATTCAACAATGAATTCTTTCAACGGTCTAACAATATTAGTATGTTTTTGACTTAAGGAATCGAAAACATATATTTCCATGACATATTTCTTCTTTGGTGGTGCATTCAAGTTCGAGCTTGAATGTTTGGATGGCAAAGAATTACTTTTTGAGTCATTATAATCAGGATCAGTGGATTTTTCATCTTGTTGCAGATCTTCTATAGGATCCGAATTCAAATCATCCAAAGAATCGTCGTTTTCATTATCCTCTTGATCATTTCCGTTTTGATCTAGTGATTCATCCTTAGGTACTTGAGGATTATTTAAGAGGTTTGGAAGACCTTTGATTATACAACAATACCAATGCATATTTTCACAAATTGGAAGTATGACATAAGGAAAAGACAATAAATCAAGTTTACTTAACCAGCGTTTGATATTACCGTAGTAATTAACATTTTCTTGACCTTCTAACTTTGACATTAGTTTAGTGAAAAAAAACGAGTTGAAAGCATATATTTCGCTTTCTTTGAAAAGCTTGCGATCATATATTGCCTTCTCGATTTCATATTGAATGAAGAAATCGATGACAGAATCATTTATCCAATCGTTATTGTATAATGTCTTGAAATCGGAATAAGTGATTATAAAAGTTTTATTTCCTGAGAATTTATGCTTTAACTCAGGATCAAAAGGAGCAGGGATTTCTGCTGGATGTACAACGGTTTCTTTATTTACCGATTCTCCTGGTTCTAATATTGATACTGTACCATCGGGATTTTCAGAAGTAACCGGAAGTAATTTGTTGGTATGTGCTCTTGTTCTTGGTCGGATTGGGTCATTTGCTTCTCGATATTTCGGCGATTGGTCTGTTTTCGAAGTTTGAGGACGTGAAGAATCGATCTCATTCATGCGGTGTAGTAATTCATCATTATCAATTCTAGGACTTGGTTTAACGTTCCATTGTTTTTGTAGAAGGAAAAAATTGAACAATTGTGAATCATCCAGAGAGTATTGAACTTGAATGTAACCATAATCTTTCTTCAACTCAATTAAAATAGAGCGCTTGGTTGTACTAAAATTCAAACTTTCTAAATGTTTTGCTTTTTCAATAACCAAATTATTTATAATCATCTGTTTTCTAGTTAGATAAAGAAACTGGAAACCCCTAGAAACATTTAATGCTAAATCGCCGTCGCTGGTATCGAATAAAATCCCATTAAAGTTTATTGAATCCAAATGTAGAGAGACAATCGGAGTAGAATCCAACTGATTTTTAGTGATATCGATCGAGGTTGAAAAAGCATTCAAAACGTGGTCCAGTTTCTTAGAATGACGATGCTGTAGTGATTTATGAGGCATATATACCCAGCTTTTGGGTTCAGGGGTGAACCGTCTGTCTTTACTAAAGACATCGCTGCCACTGTTGAATTCAACAGGACTATTGGGCGCCGTAACTGGATGAGATAAGGGCCCTTCATGCGACAGTCTTGGTCGCTCCGAGTTGGTGAAAATCTCCTTCAAAGGTCGTGAAGTAGGAATGGGTATTGGGATCGAGCTAGGCGAATGCCTTATTGGCTCCAGTATTGATCTTTGATTATCCTCTTTTATACGTTTATTTTGATGAAGATTATTCATTGTTTGAAACCCTGTAGGTCGTTTTCTTCTATTCAAAGAAGTGAAATCCTTCTTTAGTCTACCCCCGCCCATCTCGAATTTATCAAACTCTTCTATAACTATCGTTTGGATTAAATACGACTAAATGATTATGAAATAGATAAAATGTAAATCAGATAGCTGTAAGCTGCTGATTATGCAAGATATTCGCTTTAAAATGCTCTAGTGTTACCCTGAATGTCGAAAGGTTGTAATGTACGACAGTCTATATCATATAAATAACAGGGTCTTCGTTGTAATAAGTATTTTAAGCTTTAAGAAGGTTTCCTTCAAGTTTTTGCGCTGGATAAGTTTTTATCTAAAAAAAAAAAGAGGAAAAAACCAAATTGGTTCACAGACTTTGATTAAGTACAAAATTACAGCGATGGCCTACGTTGAGTTGTATAGGATACACTAACTTGTAACCTGGAACACCTCGTGCCTCTGGGAGGCCTATAGCATGCTCCGTTCTAGTGTAAATAGCCTATTGGTGTGTAGAAGTGCCCTGAGAATGAAGTACTAGGAAAAAAAGGGTACGAAAGAAAGAAAAAAAAAAAAAACTTTTAGAGAAAGTCCTTACTTTCTTTCAAATACCAATCAATTGACCTCAAAGATGGGATTCATAAAGTCACTTACCAGAGTCACGACTCCCTTGGTGGCCTTTGGACTAGGTTTTGCCTTTTATCCCAAAGATTTCAGGAAGGGGAACCTTGCTGATCGCAAGCTTACTCACATTAACCAGTCAGTATTGGAACAGATTGAAAAATCCAAAGAATATCAAGCATTATTGACCGAAGGCAATAGTAAACAGTACTACGGGAGCCATGCCTTTCCAGAACAACACATGAAGAACTATGTTGGATCTGGGTTACTCTTTGGACCCAATCTATTTGAGATAGATCCAATATTATTCTTGAATGAGGAAAAAGGAACTTTGACCGGGTTCTATCATTTAGGAGACCAATTGATTAGTCAAGATGGCGAAATCCATAATGGAGTGGTATCAACCATATTGGATGAAGGATTATGTTCATGTGGGTTTCCTCAATTACCTTCAAAGAAGGGGGTCACTGCAAAACTTTCGATTAATTTCCAAAATCAGGCGCCTCCTAACAGCACAGTGGTCTTGAAAGCTCATATTTCCGAATCAAAGGGCAGAAAAGTGGTTATTGATGGAACGTTGGAAACCTTACCATTGAGGGAAGGCGACAAGCCACTAGTAATTGCTGATTCCAAATGTATATTGGTTGAACCAAAATGGTTCAAGTACTTCTCTTGGGCTCAGGTCTTTTAGATTCTATTTCTGTATAGTGTAACTAATGATTAAATGACTTAACTGTCTCAGTTGACATCATCGGTCGAAATTGACATCATAATAGCAATCCGTGCCGTTCCCACACCTACGTACGTTGACTTACCTTGAGCACCGTCATCTCTGACGCTACTCGAACCACGCTTTGTGATCAAGTAGTGACAGCACGCTTTGTGATTAAGTAGTGACAGCACTCTTTGCGGTTAAGTAGTGACAGCACTCTTTGCGGTTAAGTATTAACAGCAAGGTACGGGGTTCCTTTTTGGGGCATTATACTGCAAAAAAAAAAGACTTACTTAAAAATCTCAGACTTTGATTGCTACTTGGACCATTTGTATTGCAACCCCTCGATCATTCATTCCAGATGATGAAATTGCCTATTTGGAACACGAAGTAATGAGTTGGCCGTTAGCCATTCGCCTAGCAATCTACAGAATCAGACTACATTTGCTTCGTTCCAATCTGGGGTATAAAAGGACCAACCAATTCCCAGCCTACTGGGGTTTTCCCCTTTTCACAACATTATTCTTCAAACTCATTTGATTATAGTACAATAAATAACAATGTCTGATTTTGGTCGTAAAGATATCTCTGAAAAAGTTCAATCTGCTGTTAAACCAGATTCTGAAAAATCTACTCCTGAACACTTGAAGGACAAGGTCACCGACAAGGCTGACAACGCTGCTGGTAAAGGTACTTCTGACAACAACAAGTCTTTTGTTCAACAAGCTGCCGACACTGTTTTCGGTAACAACAAATAAGCTTCTGCTTGGTTTTTATAGTTTAATGAATAAACGTTGAAATTATTGTCTATACGTATACATCTGTAGTATTGAACACCCGTACACCACAAAATTGGAAACGCGTACGCGTTGAGTAGTTTTGAAATTTTTGATTTTATTCAGCTAAAGCCATTAGTGAATACTCTTCTTTCCACGAAATAACAATGACTGCTTCTGAAAACCAAGCTGAACAAGCTTACCTCGACTTATGCGAACGTATCATAAAAGAAGGTGAACATCGTCCGGATAGAACTGGTACAGGTACCAAATCCTTGTTTGCACCTCCACAATTAAGATTTGATTTATCAAATGATACTTTCCCATTATTGACAACTAAGAAAGTGTTTTCCAAAGGTATCATTCATGAGTTGTTGTGGTTTGTTCAAGGCTGCACCGACGCGAAGAAATTGAGTGAAAAGGGAGTTAAGATCTGGGAAGGTAATGGATCTCGTGAATATTTGGATTCTATAGGCTTAACTGATCGCCGTGAAGGTGATTTGGGTCCAGTTTATGGGTTCCAGTGGAGACACTTTGGCGCTGAATATACTGATTGTGATGCAGACTACTCTGGTCGAGGTTATGATCAATTACAAGATATCATTAAAAAGTTGAAAACTAACCCATACGATCGTAGAATTATCATGTCCGCTTGGAACCCACCGGATTTCAAAAAAATGGCATTACCCCCATGTCATGTTTTCTGCCAATTTTACGTTAACTTTCCCAGTAAAGAAGCTCCTGATTCAAATAATAATAAACAGCAAAAATCCAGTGCAAAACCAAGATTATCTTGCTTGTTGTACCAAAGATCTTGTGACATGGGTTTGGGTGTACCTTTCAATATTGCTTCATACGCTCTATTAACCAAAATGATTGCTCATGTGGTTGACATGGATTGTGGAGAGTTTATTCATACTATGGGAGATGCTCATGTTTATTTGGATCACATCGAAGCCTTAGAAACTCAATTAGAAAGAACACCAAGAAACTTCCCCCGTTTAGTTATCAAGGATGAAAGAAAAGACGAAATTAAAAATATCGATGACTTCAAGTTTGAAGATTTCCAAATCGTCGGATACGAACCTGACGCTCCAATCAAAATGAAAATGAGTGTTTGATTATTTAGTTCTACTAGGCAAGAGTTAATAGTCATATGTACATTAGTTGAAAGTTTATACGTTAGGTTATAAAATTAACAAATTTAATAATGTAAAATAAGAAATGCAATGGGTTTAATTCACTTTATCATAGTAGACCTTCTTCTGTAAAAACGTTTAGGTCGATCTTGGTCTCGCTCATTTAAATCAAATATAGATAAATCTTTTTGAGATTCTGTAACAACTTGATTTGACTCTCCCGTAATCACCTTATCCATATCAACAACATCTGTAGCTTTATCTCCAATCGATGATATGGGTTTCTTTTCAACCTTGTTACTAGAATTGGTGACGTTAGATAACGGCATCCTTTTCTCAGATTGACTGCCGGTTTGTTGGTTTTTCAATGCTAAATCTTGATCTTCACCACTGACCTTCCGCCTCTTCTTTGAGCTTGTGGTAGGCTCAGGTCCACCGGGTGCAACTGACTCTTCTCTTTCCTTAAATAATGGAAGATATCCACCCACTGCATCCATCATTTTCGCTGATTCTCTACGAATCTTCAGACCTCTACGTGGTTCAGCATAGTTGATATTTCTTCTTGTTCTTGTCGACCTTCTTCCTGTTCGCTCATCTTCTATTTTTATATCTGCTTCTGGAGCTGGTGAATTCGACAGTAGTGACTGTTTTTGGGGTATCGATTTTGAAGTATTCTTGGTGTTGTTTCTTCTATTCTCCTGTGTGTCATCCCGGAAAACTTTGAAACCACCATTTGTATTGTCAGGCATATTTTCATTGAGGACTTCACTCAATTCCTTCGTTGGAAGCTCATTTGGAGTCTCGCTATCATCAAGTGCAATCATTGCATCATCAACTTTCTCATTGGTAGTTTCAACTGAGTTATCAGTACCACTCTCACCAGTTTCAACTACAGTTGAAGGAATTCTAAATAAGGCAAGATCAGGACTTTCACTGAAACTTCTTCTTGGGCGAGATTGTTTTGGAGCTTGGGGTTTTTCTTGACTTAATTTGCTCAATTCGTTATGTAAAGAAGGTAGGAACAAGGTGGCTTTATGTGCGTCAACATCAATTGGGTTACCAAAATCTAAGTCGTTATGTGAATCATTCATAGGTGTGGAGGTGGTAGGACGGGTAAACTCGTTTAATATATCTAGTTGTGGATTTTCGGAAAGCCCTTCCTTTGCTCTGATATCCTTGAATACCAGGAGTAAGTCGTCGAACTTACAAATGAAGTTCCTTTCGATAGTTTTTAACTTTTTCTCTAATAGAGCTTTAATATCTTTGTCTTGCAGAGATTTCCGTTTCCTCAAAGTCATGTTTTCGTTTATTAAATCACTTATTTTGGACTCCATATCGGATAGTTTCAAAGATAAGGCAGAGTTTTGTTGAGCCAATGACTTATTTTGAACAGTGTACTTCTGCTTCATTCGCTCCACTTCCTCCTTATCAATTTTAGGTTTTGGATCGGGCTCCCTTGGAGGTTGTGATTGAGATCTGTTTCTATTGACAAGCAGTTCATGATTCATACTTGCCCTTCGTGATTGGGCCTGTGAAGCAATCTCCTGAAAGTAGCGTGAGCCTTGTGAGGGACGTGCCATCGTTTATCTGAGATCTAGCAAGCTGTTGCTTGAGTTGAAGGATATTTAGGAATGAATCAATGTTTGTTGTTGTTTTTGTAAACCGTATTTAAAAACATCAACAGATTAAAATGTCCGTACACCTCAAAAAATGGCGTCTTCCTTAAAAAAAAAAAAAAAAAAAAAAAAACAATCAAAATTCACGTATAACGAGGGTTCAATACTTCGATTTTGGTAGTTTGTTAACCTAGGATTTGCAGAATATGAGTGATAAACCTCCAAGGACTGTTCAGCAGAAGATTGAGCAAAAGAGGGCAGAACTAGAATACTTACAGGAAATACACAAGATAACAGATGTGCTAACGAATCAACTTGATGATCTTGATTCAAAACTAGAAGTGATGTCAGATGGTGCAGAAAGTGCTGCATTGGTGCTATCTAATTGGCAGAATGTTGTGAAATCGGTTTCGTTGGCCTCGTTGGGGTTGATGAAGTATACGGCCAAGGATTATGAGACGCAGACACCATTACCTGAATGTTTGGTAAGAATAAAATTAGATAAAGACGATCCCATCGATAATGAAAACGCTGACAGGTCAGAGCTGGAACTTGAGCCTTCTGAAGCAGACTTTACGAATGAATAGCTTTTTCTCTCGCTTCTACAAATCCAAAATTCCTGTACTATATGATGTACTTTTATTAAAAATTAATATACAGAAACACAAGTATGTATTGCTCGATGTAGATATGATTTATGAACTGGTAAAGGTTTTTATTTCGACAACAATAGCTTCAATCCATGAAGCTAGGTTGTTATCAGACAAGCTGTTTTCTAGCTCACGCTTCAATTGTTCAGTTAAAGAGTTGATTGTATCATCTAATTCATCAGCAACTAAAGAAGCACATTGGGATTTTAACAAAACATCTAATTGTCTTATTGTTGGATGTTCAGAGCCAAGTTGTGCTAAAGTGTGGTATAATGTAGTGTCATGGATGAGGCGTTTATTTTCATCATCAGAGTTTCCTTGTGTTGCTTTCAAGAAAGACCAATCATCCGTTGTAGTTAACAACCTTAACCAAATAAGTTGACAGTAGTATGAATATGAGTCAGGATCTGGAAGTAATAGAGCTACTTCTAAAGCATCAGAAAATCCATTTTGATAATTGAAGTTTGGTTTGATAAGTGTTAATAAATTAATCAATTCATCCATCGATAACGGTTTGGAGTTTACAAATTTGTCAAAAAATGGACCCACTATTTTTTTGGAAGTACTCAAATCTATCTTAGAATTGAAATGAGAATTTGCAATTAAGTCTAAGGTTAAGTGGTTCCCATTTCCTTCGAACAATTTCGATACTTTATCGAATAATCTATTTTGAATGGCTCCTTGCTGCAAATTCTTTTCGGCCTTGGTCTTATAATCAATTAATCGATTTGAATCAAAGTCTTGAGGACTCTTTTCTGCTGCAATAGCAGCCAATTTACCTATTGAGTATTTCAACTGTCTATTATCTTGGTAATCATCCACCTTACTATCTGCAGAATCTATTATCGAAACCGCAGCATTACCGTATTCTTCATCGATTAATGAACGAATCCAAGATACTTCTTCTGTCTTTTTCGGACTTTCCTTAAAGTATTGTTTCAAATATGGATGGTAATTATTAAATGACAACAACAAATCTTGGATCATATCATTCTTAAGGTAATAATCATATAAGCTCCTTGCAAACATGTACCCATACTTTTCGAAATATGATTCATATGTTTTTGTTGCAACTTTATATTCAAGACCTTCGGTACCCGTTTCGTCTGCTATTTTCAATCTCTCAGCTTCAAGAATTTTTGCTAAAGATGAAAAATCGTAGTACTTTTCAGATATTCTTACTGCGTCTTTATTCAAATCTTGGCTCATTAAAGCCTGCATCCATTTATCTCTTTGAGTTTTGTACCAAGTCACATACTCTCCGAATTGACCATTTGAAGGATCGGATGTTTGCATAAATTGAATTGCGTTGTTGAAGAGGAAATATAACACTTCAGTCAATTTGATCAAGTTTGAACGGCTTTCAGATGTAGTGAGGATTGAATCGTCACCGCCGCAGTAAATATGACAAAATATTTCATCTATTCTGACTAACAATTCGGTGTCGAAGATCCATAATTTTCTAGTAGGAATCTTATGACGACCAACTATTAATTTTTCTTCATTGATGAAAATACCATTGTAACATGTTTTAACAAGTAATTTGATTAACTCATCATGGAAAGTATGGTCCTTGATCAAATTTACGACGAGCCTGGTTAAAACTTGGTTGATTTCTTTAGTACCTTGACTGAAAAATTTACGTAAAATATCTTCATTTGGATTGAGCCCTTCAACGGCATTTGTTTCTATGATAACTTTTTGAAGGATTTCTCTGTAATCTTTGGAAGTTTCAGAGCTTAAATGTTCCCAAAGGTTCAATGATACGTCTGTCATTTCAAGAGACCTAACAATATTAGAAGCAATCTTTGGCCATGTACCAGGAAAGTTTCTCTTTGAATAATCGACTAAACCATGGAAAAATCTAAGCTTTAAATTCAAAAAGTCTTTTATTGAAGGAAGAAAAGCGGGTAAATATGGTGAAGTGTTGTTTAAAATTTCACTTCCAATTTGATCAATTGAATTTATTAAGATATTTTCGGGATACGATTCTTGAATATCAAAATCGATAACACCATAGTCATTATAAAAAATACCTTGTTCAATGTGAGATTTAAGGATTTTCAGGGGATCATTTAAGTTTTTCCCATCAACTTCCATTGAATTTTCAGGTTCAATAAATCTTTCTATTCTTAAAACACCTGAGTTTTTTGTAAGAAGAATTAAGCTTGGGTTCGAGTTGGAGGAAGGATTTTCATACCCTTGACCAATAACATCGACGCTATGTTTCAATTTGATCGTATCTTCCCATCTTGGGGAATAATACTGATCAGCAGTATGAGAACTGATATACGAGAGATTTATATCAGTAACAATTATTAAGTCTTCAATGAAGACGAATGCTGAAGTTCCTGGACTTGGAATATAGAGTCTAGGTTTATTAACCAGAGAAATGAGCACCTGGGGGTCAAAAGTGCTTAACCTATGAGAACCATGTAAAAGAGCACCGCTTGAGTCAATTTTCATAGTGATTAAAAATAAGTTTTTATCTTGTTCATTTTTAAATTCATCGCCAGCCAGTAATAATGCCACATATATATCTTCTTTCTCGGGTAATTGTAATGGCCATAAATCTAAGAATTTTATATTTAAACTTGAACCTGGAATAAAGCCGTCAAGATTATTTTCCAAGTAAGTAGCCAAAGCATGATTGACAGATTTTTTAGAGTCTAAGTAGGCAGCTCCATTAACGGATAATGATTGAAATGTAAATTTGTAGAATCTACCAACCGAGTCTTGGATAATGAGATCTTGGGTTAAACCATTATTGGAAATTTTTCCTGATTTAAGACTTACTATCTCATCATTAACTTTAGTTTCGCTTGGTTTGCTGGAAAAAAAACCTGAAAACATACTAGTTGACTTTGATGGACTCAAAAGTTCATGAGTAGATAAGTGAGGTTTACTTTGAAAATCTCTGATGGTGACCAAAACCACCCTTTTCCAAGATGTAGCCACCATAATCCCTGCTGGCTCGACATTTTCGGCCAAGGTAATGTACTCGCCGTGTCTTGATTGAATTGGGATGTTTGATTCCAATTGTTTGTTATTGATTATTCCCAAAGCTGGAGCATGTTGAACACTTTCATAAAATTTCACATCCCCAGTGGTTGCATTGATAATCACTAGCCCCGGATCTTGACTATTACCGGTAGATGGGTTGGTCAAGATGGCTAATGGAAGCTTGGAATCTAAAGAATCTTTATCCAAAGGAAATTGAAACAATAAGGGAGTCGTATCGGTAGATTTATAGTTCCATACATAGATTGAGCCTGAGGCAACAACAAGAGAATAATTGGAAAGATGATCGGAATAACCGTTGAAAACAGCTTCCCCGTTATTTTCGTTGAAGACACTTGGTAAAGCAGGGAGTTTTGATACACAATATTTATCATTTTTAGTAAGTTCAAGCACCTTGTTTTTAGAAGTATTATTATCGAATACTGAAACGGTTGAATCAGTGACAGTAACATTGGCAGGTGATGCAGCTCGCGATACGCTGGCTGACCCAGACTGTCTGGCTCTGAATATCGAGCCTTTCGAGAATGACATTGAGCTTATACCTTAAGATATTCCAAGTTCATACAAACTGATCTTGACTGTTTACTTCAACTCTGGGATTTTTCATTGAGAAGATGAAAAAAAAAAAATTTAGGATTATGTAAGCAGTCGACTATAAAGTAGGAACCTTTACTTACTATCATGATTTATACGGTAATAAGTCTGCTTATGGTGATTGATTCATTGATAGGTCTACTTGTAATGTTTTACTCAGAAATACGTTTATTTTATAATGTACAGAAGGAAAGTATATAAATTAGAGATTAGATTTTTTGCTTTTTAGCTTCCGGTTCATCATCAAAGATTTCATCAGCATCTTCGAATTGGTCAAGATCTTCATCGTCATCACTGACTTGATCATACTTTGATTTCAAACCTTTCATTTTTCTAGTTTGTAATTTACCCAAATCTTGCTTACCAAGATGGATTTGAGCAACCTTGTCACCCATGAAATCGGTAGAAACGTTCTTCTTTTCTTTAGGTTGTAATTGTTTAGGTTTGGCATAAGCATCTTTTTCAACTTCAGGAGGAGGAGTGACTCTTCTACCGATTTTGAAATCCAATCTTGGGCCTATTTCATCGATTTCAACTCTTGGGACTTTTTGACCACTCTTGAAAGTTTTCAATTTATAAACTCTGAAATGTAATAAAGGTAATTGAGATGAGTTTGGATCTTCTATTTCACCAACTGATAATGCAATGACATATTGTAAACCAGCAACATCTTGTAAATCTGTTTCTTCACCTCTATAGAAATCCAAGAATAAAGATTTCAAATGTTGGTAAACTGGATGAGTGTCAAATTCTGGCCCATTAAATGTGAACATTGGTTTCAATCCCATGGTGAAAGTTAATTTTTTAAATTCTTGTATCAATTTATGGTTTTCTTGAATTGATAACTCAATCATATCGAAAACCTTATGATTGAAGAATCTTGAAAACACTAATGTATTTGGTCTTTTCTTATTATGAGTTGAGAATACAATCAATGATGAATCATTCTTTTCAGAGAAAAATTCTAATTGTGATGCATCTTCAAATGGTCTAATTTCATTCTTTTTAGAAAACTTCTTGGTTAATGGTTTTTTAAGAGCCATCAAATCACACATAGCATCGTGTAAAAATTTATTACCAGTGGCTCCTGGAACAAATAAGGCACTCTTTGGATTTTCAACTAATTTGGCTTCCTTTTTGGCCAAAGCTCTCTTAGAACGGGCGTTTTTAGGTTTGCTAAATATCTATGTTAGTATTCACACTTCTTGCAAGCTTCAACTATCCTTTACATACATCGTTCTAATCATTTTCTGCTAGTTTAATCAAAGTTTATGGAATAAAATGTTATCTATTTAAAAAAGTGAAAAAAAAAAAAAAAAAAAATCAAGCTCATCTTAAAAAAAAAATACTGTGTGCACATCGCAGCGAAGAGTCCGTACACCTTTATTTAATTTGTTTTTGCAACTTTACATTAAAGAGGAATAGATGGCATTAAATTAGGTACTATATAATCATATGCACGTTAGTTGTTTGGTAAAAAAGTCTATAAATAAAGGGAAGAAATGAAAAGGGTTTTTAAGCCCAAACTTGTAATTGCTCGTAATAGTCAACTCTCTTTTTCTCATCATTATCAAGATTGTTGACAACTGCAGCTCTTAAATCGTCCACCATTACTGGATGGCCGCAGGTAACAAAAGCAGCTGACCCTAAAGACTCTTTTATGTGAAGACGGACAAGTTGTTCCATCTGAGGCCTGCCTTCTTTGAAATCAATATGGGCGAGTTCTTTTTTAATTTGACTAACAACTTTAGCAACCAGGTCTTTTGCATTTGTTAAGCCAAAAGAGTTCTCACTGGTGGAATTATAATCTTGCAACTGAGTGGCATTTGAGAGGAGCGGCTTGTTGAAGCCTGCATCTTGTTCGTGGTCATCCAACAAAGCGTGATTTGAATCATCAGAATCGTTATCGTCATCCTCATCAGAGAATTCATGATCGTTTGAGGTTATTGGGAAGCGTAAATGGAAATCTTCCAAACAAGACTTGAGTTCAGGTTTGGTGACATAAACTGTTGTTTGAATTTTTGTATTTTTGAGCGAATATAGTTCTTCATAAAACCAATACAAAGATTTATACTCCCTTATAACCCAGACAAGTTTCAATTGCTGTTTTGAATTATTAGGAGAATGTTTGGCGTAATCATAAACTTCGGCATATATACCGGGAATCCCGTTCCCACCTGCAACAAATACTGCCGAGTCTGATCTAAAAGCTGGAGTTTCTTCACCATAGGAGCCTTCGATTGCTACTCTGATTTCTGTAGTTCGGCCAGGATGTTTGCAAAGATATTTATGAAGGCGCTTGGTGACCCCATCTTTAACTTTGACGAATAAAATAATATTTGATTCTTTTGGATTCACGGAGACGGTATAAGTGAAAGGATGCGATTGCCAAAAACACGAAGGTAGTAAGAAATGAATAAATGCATGGCCACCAGGAATAGCTTCCCAATGGTCAGGTTTTGGTACAATGATTTTCAATGATTCATCAGCTAATAAGATGACTTTAGCCTTTGGGAATCCAAAGGACATCAAGCGATATAATCTAATTATCCGATCTAATAACCAAATAGCCAAGGTATAATAATAAAACCACATACAGTATAAATCGGCCACATGAGCATAAGCACCAGCAATGAAAATAAAGGCAAGAACAATATGAATGATTAAAAAGGCTTCGTACCATTTTCTTCTCAAAACCAATAAACCTTGAATCATAATAAACCCACCGGCGAAAGTAGCAGCAACACCATAATAAAGATAGGTTTGTTGAATTTTAACAGAGTAAGGATGCATATAAAAAGAATAACAAGCGGCATGAATCACCACTAGCCCAAAAATGATACGGGAAACCCATCTATGTAAAGCAATGAAGCAGGAATAATCCCACCTAGTAATCCACTGTAAGATATTATTTCTACCACCGAATAGAATAAATAGAGGAATGATTTCGCTACTTAAAATACTTGTTCTGACCGCATAATAACGAAGTAATGCTTGTTCTTGAGAAAGAAATATCGGATCGCCATGAACGTAACCTATATTATGTTTAACAAAGAAACAAGTTAAAAGGAAAAACCCAATGATTGAAAAAGTTTCTAATCTAGTTGGAACTAGCATATCGAGGATTTTAGCAAGAGGTTTTTCATTAGTTTTCCTTTTACCATAGGTGGCAGGTAAAGTGATATTAGCACGATACCAATTAGTCAATGGATCAGTTAACTTCTTGACTAATTTGGGGAAGATGATTTTTGACCAATTACCAATAGCAGCCAAGGCAAAAATGCAAAGCCAATAACATAAAAGATAAAAGCCATAATCGACTGAGCGATCGTAATTACCGAGAAATTGATCGTATGCCTGTTTGTATAAGGAAGTTTGGTGATCGTCAATTTTAAGAGGGGCATCAAATATATCATGTAAACGATTATAATCATCATTTAAAGGTTTGGCGTATTTGTTATATTCATTCAAAGAATCTTCAAACATCTGTTTTGTAATCGTAATATTATAAGAGTCCTGACAAAGTTGAAGAAAGGAACTGATTTGGGAATCATGACTAGTGCTATAACAATGAGCTATAGTGGCTCTGGCATTTGCATTTTTACAATAACAAGAACCACCACTATTATCTAAAGGATCAGGCTCGCAAAAACTAGCCTGTCGCATGATTTGATAGCTGCATCCTAAATACGCTATCTTGGAAGGCCCAAACTTGTTTATAGGAGCACCATTGACTGCCTTTTCCGGGGTGAATGTAATGATGATAGAGCAAAGTAAAAAAACCGAAAGGATATTTCGAAGCTGTCGAAGCACGGGTGATTTGAATTTAAGTGGAATTATTAAAAAGGGTATTAGAATGATTGCTAAAGCAGCAGACACATATATAAAGCTATGATACATGGTTTTACCATAAAGAAACCGAAAACCATGTAAATTAAAGTAGGGAAACTCAGGCCTATAAATAACAAAGCAATATCCTCAACGTTTTCTGAAAATAAGAAAGACCCAGGGCGATCTTCAAAGAAAAAAAATCAGACAGCAAGACGTAAAGCCCAACAAAGTACGAGATACGACAACGGTCTTTGTAGTTTCGATCCAAGAGGTCAGTGTAAACAGCCAATCAAACGCAATAACTCTTTTCTTTATTATAACAGAGCTCTGATTTTGTTGATAGTTCGTCGTTTTTATGTAATTTTTTTCTTTTTTTTTTTTTTTTTTTTTTTTTTT